GGCAGGAGCCACTGCCCTCCCTCCCCATGCCCACCCAGGCCCAGTCCCTCCATGCCCCTTCCCTTCCCCCTCCTCTTCCACCACTTACCAGCTGCATGCAATATTGACCATTGTAAAGGAACCAATCCCCCATTTGTAACACTGTTCCTATGGAAAAATTGGTTCTGAGTCACAACGTTTCAACTTAAGAAGCAGTGTTCAGGAACCAAGAGTGTCATAAGTCTGAGGACTGCCTGTACTGTTAGAGGTTTAGATTGGTTTTGTGCACCAAACTTCTGTTCTGTTATAGGTTTAGAATGTAAACCAATTACATAAAGTGATTGCTTATAGTGGTTTATTTGAAATGTCTCTACCCAGCCCAAAAGTTACTAAAGACATATACAAGCTTTATTACTTATCCACAAGATAAGAAATTTCAGCATCTCCCTTGCATCATAACAACTGTTTGGAGCTGTAATTGAGCACCAACTGTGAGAAACACTACCACTAATTATGGGCTCTTTATCTTTCTGATAATTCACCTGGTTCAACTCATTTTAACTTATGAGCAAAAACATAAAATATTATAAAATTTCTTTCTTTGGACTTTAAGAAAACCTTTGACCTGGTGTTCCATGACGTCCTCATGGAAAAATTGGGGAATTGCAGTCTCAACAATTTAATGGTCCAATTGCTGGAGAACTGGCTCTGTGGATGGACCCAGAGAGTGATAGTTGATGAAACCAAATCAACATGGCACATGGTGACCAGTGGTATCCCCCAGTGCTCCATTCTCAGACCTGTATTTTTCAATGTGTTTATAAACGATCTGGACTCTGGTGTCAGAAGCAGACTGGCTAAGTTCCCTGATGACACCAAGCTATGGGGAAGTGCAGTCACCCTAGAGGATAGGCTGGCAATCCAGGCAGACCTTGACAGGCTTACAAGGTGGGTGGATCAAAACCTGATGGCATTCAACACTGAGAAATGCAAGATGTTCCACCTCGAGAGGAAAAACCCACACCACACTTATAGGTTCGGCAGTGCTATACTCGCTAGCACCACAACCAAAAGAAACTTGGGGGTCATGATCGACCACAAGATGAACATGAGCCACCACTGCGATGCTGCAGCCAGTAAAGCGGACAAAACGCTGGCTTGCATCTACTGATGCATCTCAAGCAAGACCCAGGAAGTCATCCTCCCACTTTACTCAGCCTTGGTGAGACCACAGCTGGAACACGGTGTCCAGTTCTGGGATCCACAATTCAGAAAGTATGTGGAGAAGCTTGAGAGAGTCCAGAGAGCCACGCGCATGATTAGAGGACAAGACAGCCGGCCTTATGAGGACAGGCTGAGAGACATGGGACTCTTCAGCCTAGAAAAGCATAGGCTAAGGGGTGACTTGATTGCAGGCTATAAGTATATAAGGGGTATGCATCAGGAACTGGGAGAAGGTCTGTTCACCAGGGCACCCCATTGGAAGACAAGGTCCAATGCTCATAAGCTCCTGGAAGACCGTTTTAGGCTGGACATAAGGAAAAAACTTCTTTACTGTCCGAGTCCCCAGGGCCTGGAATAGACTCCCCCCAGAGGTGGCTTAAGCACCTACTCCAGATACTTTCAAAAACACTTGGATGCCTATCTTGCTAGGATCATTTGACTCCTGCTGACTTCCTGCCCCTTGGGCAAGGGGCTGGACCTGATGATCTTGCGAGGTCCCTTCCAGATCTGTCTGTGAAATCTATGAAAATTATTATTCTGTAGTCTACGGGAGAAGTGGTTGATTACGGTATATTTTATCACATGCCTCAAGATCTCCTATATCCTATCTATAACAAATAAGTTCTGTTTTTATTTTTAAATATATTATTTTAATAACATGCCACATGAATTAAAAGGTTGTGTATTCAGTCATTACATACAGCTATGTAATGACTATATATGTATTTATAATCATCAACTAGAAAACTACCTTCAGGTTGGAAACAAGCCAGATCCGACTACCAGCTAAGTAGGTGTTATAATCATTTTTATTTTATTATTTCATGCTAATTTTCCTTGAAGGCTTTATTCCTATACACAGCACATAAAGCATTATAGGACAGACCTCTTTAAAATCAATGGTAATCTTTCTAGTCAATCACACCCTTCCCTCAATGTAGACAGTTAAATGTTTAAGGTCAGGCCTTGGGTGACTCTGAAAGAATAGATGTTTATCAAAGATTCAACACCCTGACATCCTCAATTAAAACACAAGAGCAAAGATCTACGGTCAGGTGTCCAGGCAGTTCTGCAGATAATCAAGGACAAGATTTAACAATCCTAATACCTCCAAGTAAAATAAGTGGCAATATACTACACACCCTCCTTTGTTGCACCTCTGCTCCACCACCATTATACCACCCCCACCCTTTTTAAAAAGCTTTGAAAGCTTACGAAGTACCCCCAGGAAAAAAACATTTAAAAGATTGAATTCAAATATCAGCAAGGAAACTAACGGTTTAGTCAAATTCTCCCTTTCAAAAAGCAAGTCAAGGGATTCTGTAGATACTGTGGAAGCCTCACAAATCATAAGCTGATCTCTGCCTCAGAAATTAATTGTTTCTGTATTTCCCCAAGAGCAAGCTTTTTTTTCTTGTATCCCAACCTGTGCTAAAGTTTTTACAGTTTCTTTCGGTTTAGTTAAATTAATGACCACCCTACAATGTTTTCCTATCTTACCAATGGTACTTTTGTGCAGTGGCTTATCATTGTCAGCACAAACAAAGGACTTTTTATTTTTTCACCACTTTTTCTTGTTTAGAACCTCCCAATAATGTTTGGTAGACTGAAAGAAAAATGACATCTGAAATGTCAACAAATGAGCCTTGCCTATGGTCCTTTAAACAATACACCACATTCCACTTCTTCAAACAGATTTTCAATTTATTTATACACTATTCTGTATCCAACCAAAGAAAAAAAAAAGTAATATTACTAGTACTTTCTGGTAACTACCACATAACTGCTTAAGTTTAATTGAAATTTGAATACTTTATTGCCTCACTAATTTATCTTTCTTTTTTTCTCTAAACTTTGAACAAGGTCCTTGAAACATTTTAGGTTAGTACCAAATGCAATACTCACAGTTACTTATAACTCCTCCAAGTGGATCACCTTTGAAATCAAATTCAATATCCATGTATTTTCCCTGTAAGAACAATATATTGTAGGAATTTTAGGATTTACCAAAGGAAAATCATGCAATATCTTCTTAAAACTGATTTTGTCATTTTTATAAGTTCATACAAATTAAGTTCTTTCTTTCAGGGCAAGCATTTCAAATTTACTAGTAGTAAAGCACAGCTTTTAAGACAGAAACATTTATGGTAATGGGCCTTAAATAACAAAGGGAGCAATTGGGTAATTCAGTTTAATGAGCGTTGTGATTCTTCAAATGGATAGAAAAAAAATGTGATTATGGTTGAGACTGCCAAACACCAACTTCAGCGACATAAGGAGATATCATCCAAATAAATCAAATCAGAAATATAAGAGGAAAACAATTGTTTTGGGATAATAACATGAACAGAATTATTCCTGGTTGGGAGATTGTTCAGAGGTGTGGAGCAGGGCACACACAAGGTATTAATGCACTTTGGGATTACTCAAGGAAAGAATAGGCTCCAGTTATGCGTTGTAAGATTTTTGCATTAAAAAATAAATCATTCCTTGTCCCAAGTACTTTCCATAGTATTCCAACACACATTCAACTTTGTTCCATGCCTGCAAGACCCAAGATAAACACATTCCACTCTGTCCAGTTCATAAACACAGACAAAGGGAGGGGCAGCATGAGCAGAAGCAGTAAATGAACTCTCAAAACCTACTGAGCAGGAGTTGACCTTGAGAGAGAGCCTTCATCCTGGATGAACGTAATCAGGAGCCTGATAGCTCAGTAACCATTGGGCCATGTGGTATATGATTCCTGGCATGGTTCTAAGAAAATCTAGACAGTGCCATGTTACTCATTCACATGGACAACCTTAGAAATTATGCTAAGTGGCTGAGCAGCTGATTTTTCTCCTCATTCATTCAAGAAAGTATCATATTTTGATGTTCTAGACATGCCCTCCACCATTTCTGCAGCTATACAAAAGCCCATCACACACGAATCTCCTTCTGAAATTTTGTTCTTATCAGTATATTTATGCTAATGTCTTATACTCACAAATCTAGAAGAGTTGTCATTCCTTACAGTTTTGGCATTTCCAAAAGCTGGGAGGAAAGAAAAGGAAAAATATATAGGTATCATGGTAGAGAATGTGAAAATATTAAATAACAAGCCACTTACAGTGGATAGCAGTTTTGCTTTAAAAAACCCATTCATGCCTTGTGGAAAGCAATACATAGTCCTGTGTTTGCGATATCACTATCAGTCGCTGAGGATGGGCTCCTGATATCACAAATGAAAGATGAGCTCCTAAATAATGATTGTGCACTGAACAGTTCTTGGGGGTGGGGGAGGAGGGGACAGGATGGGAGGATGGTCATGAGTAAAATATGAAAATGTTGCCAAGTGAAACTATAGACAAGCAGAATTGCATGTAGACTGAACAGTTACCCATGATGTTTCAGATCTTCAATTCAGATCAAATTTTTACTGCCAAGACAGACTATAAATATATAAAATATTAATGTAACATATTTCTCTTTGGGAAAAATTCAAGAAAAAGACAGCCTGTCACTTACTAAAACTGAACACTAATGTCCCATTACACAAAAGACAAGAGATTGGCCAAAACCAAGGACAGAGTAGATGAGACTGAAGTCTTATTCTCCATTAGAAAGTTGACTTAGTTTCCTGGAAATCACAATTTTACATAAATTTAGCTGGCTGAACCACTAAGAACACTATAGTGTAGTATGAGTGGCCTACTTCAGCTTAGCTGAAATCAAATTCTAATCAAATTAACCTAAACTGAAATTTTTTAAGTGTCCTTTGCACCCCTTTAAAATTACAGTTTCAGTTAGACTGAAGCAACTTTCCAACATAGGAAAGCCTAAGAAAAGACAAACTTCTCCAATATCAGCATAACCTAAGTCTGCTTTGTTTGCATAAGATCATAGGAAAAAAGGGTTGGAAGGGACCTCACAAAGTCATCTAGTCTGGCTCCCCTGCGATCATCCCTGACTAACCATTCCAGTCAAGTATCTGTCCAACCTGCGCTTGAAAACTGCTGCAGATTCTACAGCTTCTGCAGGTAGCCTGCTCCAATGCTTGACTACCTTCATAGTCAGAAACTTCCTTTTAATCTCCAGCCTAAATTTTCCTGCAGCAGCTTAATGCCATTGCTCCTAGTCCTATTTTCTACAGCCAGAGAGAAAAGCCCATCTCCCTCCTCTCTCTTCAGGTATTTGAAAACTCTAACCAACTCCCCCTAAAGTCTTCTCTTCTCCAAACTAAACCACCCTACTATAAGCCTTTCCTCAAAAGTCACACATTGCAGGCCACTGATCATTTGTTGCTCTCCACTGGACTCTCCAATCTTTCCACATCTTTCTTCAAGTGAGGGACCCAAAACTGAACACAATACTCTAGCTAAGACCTCACCAGCACTGAGTAGAGCAGAGGAATCACTTCCCTTGGTTTGCAAGGGACACTCTTGTTAATGCAACCTAATATACTGTTAGCCTTTTTTGTACCAAGAGCACACTGTTGGCTCATATTCATATGTAACACCCCAGGTCCTTCTCTGCTGTACTGCAACCTACCCACTCATTCCCCAGTCTGTACTTGTGCATGCAATTATTCTGTCCCAAGTACAGGGCTTGGCACTTGTCCTTGTTGAATTTTATTTACTTCACTGCAGACCATTTTTTCTGACTATCCAGGACATTCTGGACCTTAGCCTTACCCCCCCACACCAGATTATCTGCAGCTTCACACAATTTGGTGTCATCCACAGATTGGCCAAGCATACACTCAATCCCATCATGCAAATCATTAACATGTTAGGCAATACCAGACCCAGGATAGATCCCTGGGGAACTCCAGTTGATACCTCCTCCCAAGTAGACATTTAGCTATTAGTGACTATTTGTTAAGCACCAAGATCCAACTCCATCTACAGCAGTGGTGCTCAACTTTTTCCCCTCACAGGCCAGATGGGCAGTGCCCAGGTCATCCATGGGCCAGATCCAGCCAGTGACCCTGATCCAGCACCCAGGGCAGGCACAGTAGATACCATGTGGTCACATGGAGGAGTGTGGAGGGTTAACCCAGCACCACAGTTGAAGGGGGTATAGCCTGGCCCCTGTAGGGGGAGAGGGCAAAGCCCAGCCCCAACAAGGCCCCACAAGAGGAGTGGCCTGGCCCTGAGGCAGGGAGGGGCCATGGCCCAGCCCCGATCCAAACATGAGGGAAGAAGCGTGGCCCAGCTCCAACCTGCCACAGAGCTTGGAGTTATGAATTTGACCATAGGGGAGGGTGGCCATATTAATGACCACTGCTCCCCCACCATCATATTTCCTAACCCATGGGGAGCCCCATAGGTCAGATGGGATGGCGCTGTAGGCCAGATATGGCCCACGGGCCAGAGGCTTAGCACACCTGATCTACATTACTTTTGTCTAGTCTTTATTTCCTTAGCCTGCTAATGAGAATGTCATAGGCAACACTGTCAGAAGCCTTGCTAAAATCTGCTGCTCTCCACAATTCACTGACTCTGTCACTTTATTAAAGAAAGAAATCGGGTTAGTCAGGCATGACATGCTCTTGGTGAATCCATGCCAACTGGTCCTGATCACCTTGTTCTCCTCTAGGTGCTTCACAAAAGATTTCTTGAGGACCTGCTCCACGATCTTTCTAGGTATCGAGATTAGATGGACTGATCTGTTGTTCCCCAGAACTTTCTTCTTCCCTTTCATAAAGGTGGGCACCATATTGCTCCTTTTCTAATTATCCAGGACCTCATCCAACCTCCACAAGTTCTCAAAAAGGATAGCTAATACCTCTGAAATTACCTCAGCCAATTCTATCAGTACTTCTAGGATGCATCTAGCTGCTCTAAATCCTCCCTAACCTGCTCTGCCATTATTCTGTTCGACTCTTCCCTATCTTTGCTGCCAATTACACTTGTCATCTATCTGGCAGCTGCCCCTATTTTTAAAGACTGAAGTAAAAAAAAAAAAAAAAAAAAAAGAATTAAATATTTGGATTGCCTTCAACTTTCTACAAGGGACCTACAGTTTCTTTGGTCTTTCTCTTCATTTTGACATACCTATAGAAGCTCTTTTTCACTGCCTTTGATGGCCCTTGCCAGTTGCATCTCAAATTGTGCATGCAGGGACAAAATCAGAAAGGCCAAAGCACACACGATACTCTTATACTCTTCCCTAGTGACATGACCAAGTTTCCACTTTTTCTCGGATATTTTTTAAGTTACAACTTGTTGAAGAGACTGCTGTCTAGCCAAGCTGGTCTTCTGTTGCATCTCCCATTCTTCTGTCATCAGGATAGCTTGCCTCCACACCCTTAAAAGAGCCTCCTTGAAGTACAGCCAGTGATCTTGGACTCCTTTTCTCCCAACTTTCCTCTCAGTGGATCCTGTCCATCAGTTCCCTGAGTTTGCATAAAACTTGGTATAAAAGCTTATTTTTATTTTTTTTAAAACCTGTTCAGGTTTCTGACAATAAAAGGCATAGAGGAAAGCTCTCTCTCAGGGCTAAGCTCAGTTGCTGAACCACCAGCCCACAACATACAACGTGAATTCAAAATAAATCGTGGGACAAGTTAAAATCCTAAATCACATATTTTAAGCTGTTTGCCAAGAGGGAATATATACCTTTTGCTCGTTTGAAACATGGTGCTCATGCTCCTAAGAGAAAGCTATGACTGACTTATCCCAAGATTTTATTTATTTATTTATTTATATTTAATGTGCACGTAAAGCTGACATTTCCGTGGGTGGAAAAATACATGTTTTTCTGCTTTGAAAAATTTGCATGGAGAAGCTATTCTGGATCAAAACTCAGGCCAAAAAGGCAAAGCTGGTTGCTCTCAAAGGCCAGGGATAAGTGAAAGAATTGTTTTAAAAACTTTATACAGTACAATAAATCATCTTTTCAACAACCATGGCTCTGAGCTGCATATTATTAAACATAAAGAGTTATTTATAACTATAAACAGATTCAAATACAAATGTTTCATTATGAAAGGAGACATTCCTCAGTTTTCTACCAAGCTCAGTGTTTCTTATGCTAATCTAGGGAAGCAGCTACAGTTAAAAACAGAGCACTCCCATAAGAAAACTTATTGAGATTAAGAATATTTCTGCTCTTTTATTTTATTGTATTACAGCTTAGCTGAAACAACTGCATACAAAGGCTGAGTCTGATCTCACATAGGCAGTTTGCAGCTAAAAAAATATATGTAAATGCCTGCTCAGAGCTTCATCACTGCTAAACATGCAGTGATATAGTGTCACATCTCAGCTACTGAAATGCAACCCAGAACCGGGTAACACAGCAACACGCAGCACAAATACACTGCATCCTTTCCAAATTTACTTAAACATTTTTACTTATTTTATTTAAGAGTGAGTTTCCCAAACTATAGGACCTGACCCACAGAAGTGGAGGGACCATCAACCCCACTTGGTATCAGACACCATTTTAGCAGCACTGATAGGACCACTGTCCAACAGCATGAGCAAACCTTGCCTGTAACAAGACCCTACAACTGGTGCTCTCTACTCAAGAAACTCAGCGGATTTTAGCAGTCTCCAGGGAACCATTCAGCACTGTTTAGAGAAAACCTGAAAGCTCCTATCAATTTTGCCCATGTATCAAGTTTTTCTTTAATAAAAATGATAAAAACTGAATTATCTGTCAATCAGAAATGACTTCAGATTGCATTTCCTCCATTCAGTCTTTTGTAGAACATTTTTCATCAGCAGGACAGGCTCATCTGGCATATGTGCTCATTTAAATACTTTAGACTTTGGTTTTGCATCTTGAAACTTTATTCCTGAATGATTACCATTATAAACTGTTACCAACTCCCACATCTCTGACCTTCTCTCAGCACATTTCCTATTCTTTTCTGTTCAGAGCATTATGCCTCCCTCCCTTCCTTTAATGTTTTTACTTCCATTTGCATGCATTTCTTTGCAACACATTAAACAAAAGACAACACACTCTGCTTGTTGTTGAATCTTTCACAGACATGGAACTGCTAAGCACATAATGAAATATCATAATTTTACAAATTCTGTATTTGGCCTGGTGATGAGGGGAAGTAATTGTGTAATTAGCTATGATACTTCCCCACTGTTGAGTAGTAAGCTAGAACTAAGTGTTAATACAGGGAAGTCAATCATGGAAGCAACACAATGGACCTACAGAAAAAACGCTTTTGGAACCAATTATAAGAAAATGGGGAACTTCTAGTTTCCATATTCTGTATGCAAGAAAGATGGAAAAACTCATTTTTTTAAAGCAAGAGGCTCAGGTTAAAATAAATCAGTAAACAGTTAAAAGAAGAGAAGAGGTCGTGCTCAGGGGAAACAGACAAATACATGAAAAGACTGCAGAAGCAACTGAGTTAGGTCTTTTGCCTGATGCAAGGAATAGTAAGCAGGAGAGAATGACAGACATGCATATGGATAGGTTTACTGCTTTCAGATCTCTTTTCTATTAAATGCTTTTGCTCCAAATAAATACTTTTAAGAAGTTAATCCGACTACTAGATACTACAACCATGGATCACAGAAGGAAATAAACTTTAAGTACCTAACCTAAGTCAAGACTACTGAGGTAATCGCATCTGAAAGACCAGAGACTGCATCCCTAGCCCCATCCAAGGAGTGGACTTCAGCCTAGGGCCCCATCCACACACTGCTCCAACATGCCTCTGTTACACAACAAAGAACTGAGAAAGAGTACTCTTGGAAAAAACCTGGAGAGGTGCAGTGAGTTTATTAACCATGGTATGACAAGACTGACAGTTTAATCCTAGTACAGGTATTTGAACTTATTGTTTACTTGAACTCAATTGTCAAAAACAGCTGAAAAAATAGGCTAATACAATACAGTTAGTTTCTATATCTATTACTGGACACTTACCTTCAAGCACTGGATTTGACTGTAAAAGTTGTTCTTTTACTTGATTAACTTCAGCTCCTTTTCCACAAACAGCTGCTACATATGACATGACAAGTTTGCTGGCCTCTGCAAGGTGGTAACAAAAAAGAAAAGGTCAAATTGAGAAATAGGCCTGAAAAACAGAGACACTAGAACATAAGATAACATTTTCCACAAAAAATACTCCCTTTCTGACCTCACAGTCCTCACGCTCAAGAGACATTTAAAAAATAAAGATGGGCCTAGGAGTAAAAATTCATTAGCTTACTGGACACTAAGAACCAGTGACTTAACACAGACACTGATTTCAAGACCCATTATAACGTAACTGGTCCCCGCTAATTTTCCTGCAGGCCACAGATGATAACAACCCTCTTGCATGGTTTTGCTCTCCACTTACAGGGTTACCATTTCTACTGCATTTCTCTTATCTGTTAGTGACCTGATAATATCCCTTAATCCTGATTTTATTTACATATGGAGTTTTGCACAAGTCTTTGTTTTATCTGCTATTTAGCTTTTCTAGGTCTGCCTTTTTTCCTCAGAGACCTGAGCAAGTATACAGTGGTACCGAAAAGCTTGTCTACATCCCTCCCAATTTTGATCCAATAAATCACCCACAAATATCCTTGCCTCTCACATTTGTCCTGGACCACTACTAATACAACATCACCTCAACACAACCATAATGTGTATTTAGACTCTTGGACTCTCCTCACCCCATTCACCCTGCAGAAGAGAAATTCAGCAAGCAAACAGCTTCATCTCATATGATACCTCTTTGGAAAGGTGTCAGGCTACAAATAATTTTAAAATGCATAAGTAAAATAAAACTAACAAATCAAATGTTATTCAAACTTGTATAGAAACACCCACAGTACAAGACCTACTGTATTGTAACTGCAGTTATATAGCAGGCTATTAAATGTAAATAATTTTAATTCATCGTGTGAAATTATTCATGTAGTCTAGGGGTGGCTGAAGGCCAGAATGGGCCACTGTGTGTTAAGACTGGATAAGTGGGCACTAGGACCACGCTGACAGTGGCATTTATCCCTGCAGCAGCCCAGGGAGAATGCCCACAAAACATGTGCCCTGTCACTGAAGCCATATGCCTGTGGGCCAGATCCAAAGGTTCCACATGTGCCATCCAGCCCACAGGCTGGAGGCTGCCACCCCCAGATGTAGCCTGTTTTAAAACTGTATATAAAATATGAAAATGTTCATGTAGGCAATGAACAATTTCAAAATATGGTCATTCAAGTTTGAAACACTGGAATAAGTTTGTTTCCAGTTATGTAAACAAAAAATTGTGTTGATTAACTATTATGCAAATAATTATTCATAAATATTACACAAAATAGGTATGCTGTTCTTAAGGCCCCTGCTACATGTTAAATATATTACACAATTTACTGGTAAATTGAACAATAAATTTATATCAGCCACACATGCAAAGTAATTATCACACAACAAAAATGACTATCCAGCTATAAAAAGAACCAACCAACTATAAAGTTAGCTCTTGAAAATGTACAACAACTCCATAGCTGGTTTCTATGCAGCTTTAATTTGAACCTGGAGCAGGGCCCTATGACACAGGGCAGCTATGACAAGAACAGTAAGTTTTACAATAGGATCTTAATGCTTAATGTACAACACAAAGCTGTGAAATCTCAAATGACTTTGACAATCTGTAGATTAATATAGTTTTAAATACAATGTAATTACTAACACCTGGAATCCCTATCAACTCAATACAATGGTAATAAACACCCGTTTACTCTTTTGCAAGGCCTGATATAAATTTAAGGGTCTGATTTTAACAAAGAACCAAACAAAAGACTATCCTTCAGATCATGATTATATCTCATTTAATATTAAGCAAAGGTAATTAGCATGAGTTTTTCCATTCATACTGAATTCAACAAACTAGATAAAGGCATGGATACTAAAAATCATGCATCTTAATCTCATTTTTAATTTTTTTAAAAGATCCAAGCCCTTATAGTTGAACCTGAACTTGATATGAATGCCTAACAACATGGCATAAATCAAATCAATGTGGCAGTGCCAATAACAATTCGTTATTGCTGTCTTACAATAGCTCAAAAAAATTTGAACAGAGCAATGTATTTCAATACAGCATCACATACAAAACTGCAGGCCCTGAAAGGCATTCTCCAACCAGTACTTTAAGAAAGAACTTTGCATATGGTAGGAAGGGAGGGGTACAGTAAACCAGATTCAGCTCACATAAGCAGACATACCCTAGTTTCTAGAATAAATACTCAGGGGTGAGAGGAGGCAGAAATCACCACTGACCTGGCAGAAAGCTCACCACTGACCTGGCAGAGGCAGAGCCATTTCCCTCAACGATAAAATCCCACTTTCTGAGCATTTTCTCCATTCTACCCAATACAGAGATAGACAAATATATTCAGAAAAAATAAAAATAATACTGAATGAGTGAGGTCCAATGCAATTCCAATAGAAACCAAACTTTAAAGTGATTTCCAGCCATATTTCTATTCAGGAAGCCTAGATCAGTGTTCCCCAACCAGCGTGCCATGGCACAAAAGTGTGCCATCAGAAATGAACAGGTGTGCCATGGAATTTTGCCATGGCAATGAGCTACAATAGGCATGAGGATGGGGAGTACCTTGACAGGTGTGCCACGGAAAATTTTTATTAATGTAAGTGCACCTTGGGCTGGAAAAGGTTGGGAAACACTGGCCTAGATGACTTTGTATATGCATGCAATGTTTTATTTGTATACATTTCAACATATAAACAGACCCATCCCCATTTCTGGGTACCTCTGACAGATAATTGGAAGCATTATTAGAACAGAAGCAGCAGTAAGCAAAACTTCCCATACTCAAAACAAGATAATCCAAAATCAAGAATGTTATCACACCTTGTGAAGCCAAAGAGAAAGCACCTACACG